TTGGCCACATAATGAGAAGATAGGAAAGCTTGGAGAAGATAATGATGCTGGAGAAAGTGGAAGGAAAAAGGAAGAGAGGCCGACCAAGGGCAAGATGGATGGATGGTATCCTTGAAGTGACCAGCTTGACCTTGAAGGAGCTGGGGGTAGCCACAGCTGACAGGGAGCTCCGGCATAGGCCGGTCCAGGAGGTAATGAAGAGTTGGAAGCGACTGAATGAATAAACAACAAAACAAGAATATTTCAAAGACCTTTAAAGTGATACCTTTATCAAGCCACAAAAATAACATTAAAAAGGCAAGCATTGCAAAACAAAATGGCATGAAAAGCACACAAAAAATCATACATCTTCCTGATTATATTTGGTAACCATTGGATCTGATCCAAAATGGAGACTGCGGGCTTGAAGAGGTAGCTATTGTATATTGATGAATGTAGAACAATTGTCCAATGTGCTTACTGACAAAGAGCTTGTAGGCACCAAGCAAACTATGCACTGTTTTTTAGTCAATGCATCGTCTCCTGAGCTAGCTCAGAACAGAAGTACAATAACATGGCACTCCCCATATAAGCAAAATTGGCGATTACAGGGCACACTGTGCAATGGACAAAAAAGTTAATAGAATCAAAGTTAGGACTAACACATTCTCTTGGCTCCCAATAGATTCAGAGATTCTAGTGACAAACAATGGGGAAATATGTTGTGTTATTATCTCCAGCACAGTCTCTATTTAAAAGCACATTCCACCAGCTTTAATTGGATTTATGGGTTATATGTAGGATCACAGCTATTGTGAAGTTTTCATCTAAAAGCTGGAATGCTGAAATTTCAACTAAAATGCTGAACTAAATGCATTCACTCAATTCTTTGGCGAACTGCTGAATCAGCAGGTTTACCTTAGCACTGTGGCAGGCAACCTGGGGCCTTCTAGATATTTTGGACCTTTGGAACAGAAGGCAGCCTGGTGCACTCTCAATATTTCGGATAACAATTTCTATAATTATTACTTAGTCACTGGCCACACTGGCTGGACCTCATGGGCATTATACTCCAGAATATCTGAAATGGAGTGATTCTCCCTTTGTGTGCATTTGCTTTCAAGTCTTGTGTTTATTTATGGAAACCCCATGAAATTCATAGGGTTTTCTTAAGACAAGTATATTTTGAAGGTTTTTTTTTTAATTGTGTCAGAAGCAAATTGAAAACATGCTGCAGGTCTCTTCTGGTGTGAGAGAATCAACCATCTACAGGGGACACCCGGATGTGTTACCTTCTTGTGGGAGGCTTCTCTCATGTCCCCTCATGGGAAGCTGGGGCTGACAGGCCGGAGCTCACCCTTTCTCATGGATTCAAACCACTGAGTTCAGCCGGCACAAGGGATTAACCTATTGCACTACTGCAGCTCCCATTTTGAGGTGATTTTGCCTGATCCTACCTCTGAAATGGTACCTGGCAGTCTCTCTGAACTTGATACTGCTCAGCTTCCAAGATCAGACAAGATCTGAGGCCCTTTGGGTATTTAAGACCCAATCATCCTTTAAAGAACTAAAAAAAGACATAAGCAAAAAAAATCCCTTCAATTTATCACCATTACTATGGGAACCTCTGACACTTACATAACTATTCTGAGCAAATCTTCTGGAGAATCTTTAAAGTTTATGGCCTGGCCTTTTAAGGTGGGAAATAAAGTGCATTTCCTCAGCAATTATATACTGTGGCTTGGGGACTGGGAAAAGGCAAGACATTTGCTTCTGGAGAAAGATGTCCTGTGCAATAAATAATCAACAACTGCACACCTTAGCTGCTAAGCATGTGTCTTTAAAGACCCTGGGTTCTGAAAAGAAAAGGTGCTGTTGTATTCAGACAGAACAATGTTGTTGTTGGGTTGCTGTGAGTTTTCCGGGCTGTATGGCCATAGAGATGGGTGAAATGTCAGGAGAGAATGCTTCTGGAACATGGCCATACAGCCCGGAAAACTCACAGCAACCCAATGATTCTGGCCATGAAAGCCTTCAAGAACACAATGTTGTTGTCGTTGTCATCGTTGATGTTGGGTTTTTTTGGGGGGGGGGGTGTAATATACCATAGAGGCTGTCCCTGGTCATAAAGAATGCTGATACAAATATATAGAAACCTGGCAGAAGACCCGGAAAACTAGTCATGTATTCAGCACACCCAATGCAGCTTATGAAAAAGGGAAAAAACTGCCCCAAGTGGCAAATCATGTTCTGAAAACAAGCATCTGGGGAGTTCAATTTATCATTTAATCTCTCACTCTGTTTTAGAGAAAATAAGTTCTTAGTCACTTCCTCCTTCTGAACAGGGAGTCTGGAGGCTTCAGACATCCTGGGAAGAGGAAAAATTACAATTAAAGAATTAAGAAATATTACATGTTTCTAAGGGCCTTTCCACACAGCCATATAACCCAGAATATCAAGGCAGATAATCCACAATACCTGCTTTGCACTGAGTTCAAGTCCACACTGCCATATAACCCAGTTCAAAACAGATAATGTGGAATTTTATACAGCTGTGTAAAAGGGGCCTAAGAGCCAAATCAAGGGGGAGACAGTGTCACGGTTCCTCTGTGGCCTTTGTCAAATTTCTTCCTATTTTCTCTGCCTTTTTAAACATTCACTTTTATTCCAGCAATATAAGATCTCACTATACCATTTATAAGATCAGTTATTATGTAAAATTTCAGTTAGAAATGCCTGCTTGGAACACATTATTCATAATTATTATTGTGAAACTCTCATCTTTCCACAGAAAAGCATTAGGTCAGACTTTGGCATTTGCTCAGTCTTCCCTTACATGTGGCAAATACGTGGCTCCCCTATTATCTTCAAAAATATGTGAGGCAATGCTGCCCAATTAATATGCGCATGGGTGCCGGCTTGAAATAAATCTTAGGGAAATGTCTGCGAAATAGTTTGAATTCAGGCACGTAACAGCAGTCTAAAACTCAAACAGATGTGGAATCCCCTCTCCAGATTTCATTGGCAGGTAAGTCACACTGAACCCTGCTTGACTCATTTTGGGGAGTCAAAAGGCAACTGCTGCTGAGCTGATGGAGAAAGCTGGCTACTGCCAGGATCACAGGTTTGGCCAATTTTCCCCTGAGACTCCCTGCACCTTGCTGGGGAAGGAGGAGGAGGAGAAGGAGAAAGAAGAGGAGGAGGAGGAGGAGGAGAATGAAGAGAAGGAGGGGATGGAGGAGAAGGAAGAGAAGGAGGAGGAAAAGGAGGAGGAGGATAAGGAGCAGGAAGAAAAGGAGGAGGAAGAGAAGGAGGGGAAGGAAGGGGTGGAAGGGAAGGAGGAGGAGAAAGAGAAGGAGTAGGAGGAAAAGGAGGAGGAGGAGGAGACAGAAGAAGAAAGAGATGGAGAAGGAGCAGGGGGAGAGAAGAAGGAAAAGGAGGATGAAGAGAAGGAGGAGAAGGAAGAGAAACAAGAGGAGAAGGAGGAGGAGAAGGTGGTGGTGGAGGAGGAGAAGGGGGGATGGAGGAAAAGGAGGAGAAGGAGCAGGAGGAAGAGGAGGAGGAGGGGATGGAGGAAAGGGAAGCAAAGGAGAAGGAGCAGGAGGAAAAGGAAGAGGAGGAGACAGAGAAGAAGAAAGATGGAGAAGGAACAGGGGGAAGAGAAGAAGGAAAAGGAGGATGAAGAGAAGGAGGAGAAGGAGGGGATGGTGGAGAAGGAGGAGAAGGAGGGGTGGAAGAGAAGGATGAGAATGAGGAGGAGAAGGTGGAGGAGGAAGAAAAGGGGGTGGAGGAAAAGGAGCAAAAGAAGGAGGAGGAGACAGAGAAGTAAGAGATGGAGAAGGAGCAGGGGGAAGAGAAGAAGGAAAAGGAGGATTAAGAGAAGGGGGAGAAGGATGAGAAGCAAGAGGAGAAGCAGGAGGAGAAGGAAATCTTAATCCTGGGAAAGTGAGAAGCAAGCATTGGTGATGGAAGATCCCAGCCTACGTTTAAACCATCCCTCATTGATTGATTTCTAGTTTCTGCTAAACAGATGTACATACTTACCTAAAAAGAGGCACCGTTGCTTGTGCAGCTTAATTTCAAGTGTATAGTACACAATTGTCCCTCTGTATCCCTGGGATGAGCCATCAAGGGCTTGAAAATGTTTAAAAAGACCTTCAAAAAGTCTTGATATTTTTCTTTTGCTCTTTTAAATAAGGGGCATCATTCTACTCCCGCAATGTATATTATGGGGCTTGAGCATCCACGGATTTGGGTATTCAGGGGGTCCCATTGGGTACCAAGGACTCCTTTGATGCATCTGGGGGGGGGGGGGCATGAGTCAGAATGGCATAATTGCCTGGATTGAATCCAACCACAGTGCAAAGCTCACTCAAAGTGTTTTGTCTCCACTGAGACCCGCCTTTCTGAATTGGGCCGTGCTCTCTCTGCCCATCCGCATGCCTCCTCAAGCCCACTTTCTAGAGGTTGCCTTGGGGCAAGCATCCGCCCAGGCAGGGAGTTCGCGTGTCGCCCTTTGCTGGATCCAGCAGAAGGGAGGGAGGCAGGGAGGGACGGAGGACTGGAGGGGCTCGGCTGTGTTGTGAGTTGCCCCGGACTCTTGGCTCCAGTCTCAAGGGTCTGCGTGGCTTCAAAGACATGCCATTCGCCCCAGAATGTGTCCACGCTCCTCTGTCTCTAACGCAATGTAAGGCACGGGGGGGGGGGGGGGGGTTGCTTTAAGGCAAGCAAGCATCCTCCCGGCCACGGGTGTCAAACGCTGCCCCTTCCCTGGTTGTATGTAGCGAGAGGGAAGGACGAGCCGGACTGTGCTCTGGGGTTTTGCTCTTCGTCCCTGCCTCACCCCCCTAGGTACTCCGCCCATATTTACTCGAACCCCCTCTTTCTCTATCCCCCCCCCCGCCTTTTCAATCTTGCTCCGCGAGGCGCCGGCTCCTTTGTGCTTGCAAACGGGGCGGGCGGGGGGAGGCGCGCCAGGAGGCGGACCCTATCCTCGCCCCTCCTCGCCGGGCAGACAGAGCCGGGCCGGGCTCGAGTTAGAGGAGCCCCGGGGGGATCAGGAGCGCCTGTCCTGGCTTCTCCTTGCCCCGCGAACTAAGGGGGGGCCCACTCGACGGAAAGGCATCGCTGCTTTAAGAACGGCGCGGGAGGCTGGGCCGCGCGCCTCCCCGCGTGCTCTCTCTCTCTCTCTTCTACTCCTCGGCTCCGCTTCTTTCTGGGTCTGGGCGCAGACGCTGTTCGGGGCAGAGGCGCCACTCCACGCTGCCTGCCTTCCTTGCAGAGAGCCAGGGGACTCCGCCACGGCCATGCCCCGGAGGAGGAGCAGGAGCCGCCGCCGCGAGGTGTGCCCGCGCGGGGCTCCCGGGGGAAGGGACTGAGCCCGGGCGGAGGACGCGGAGCAGGAGGAGGAGGAGGAGGAGGAGGAGGATGGTCCGGGCGGGGCTGGGCCGGGCGGCGGCGCTGGCTGTGCTGCTGGCCTCGGCTTCCTTGGCGGGGCTGTGGGTCGGGCGCCTGGCGGAGCGGCCGGGGCGCTTCCCGCGGGAGAGCTCGCCCGCCCTCAGCCCCTCGGCGCCCAAAACTTTCCGGACGCTGCTGACGCTGCCGGGCGAGGAGCAGAGGCCGAGCCGGGCCCGGGCCCGCGTGGGGCGGGAGCGAGAGCGCGGGAGAGCGGCGGCGGCGTCCCCGGTGCGCGGCGGGATCTTCTGGAGCCGTTGGCTGGAGGCGCAGGTGCCGCGCGGCTTCCCGGCGTCGGAGGCGTCCTCGTGGCTGGCGGCGGCGCGGGCGGCGGCGGTGGTGGGCCTGGAGCGGGGCGGCTGCGGCCGGGCGCCCAACCGCCTGGCCCGCCTCTCGGACGGGAGCCGCGCCTGCGTGCGCTACGGCATCAACCCGGAGCAGGTCCAGGGCGAGGCGCTCTCCTACCACCTGGCCGGCCTGCTGGGCTTCCAGGAGCGCCTCCCGCCCGTGGCGCTGTCCCGCGTGGAGGCCTCGGGCGCGGGCGGGCGGCGCTGGGCGGCCGTGGGCGAGGAGCTGCGCGGCGCGCCCTGGGCCGAGGGCGCCGTGGTCAGCCTGGCCCGCTGGGTCGACAACCTCACCGACGTGGTGGCCCCGCAGCCCTGGCGCGCCCCCCTCCGCGAGGCCGGGCCCGGCGCCCTCTCCCCGCCCGCCCTGCGTGGACTCAGCCTGGCCCAGCTGGTCGAGCTGGTCCAGTGGAGTGACCTCATCCTCTTCGACTACCTGACTGCCAACTTTGACCGCCTGGTCAGCAACCTCTTCAGCCTCCAGTGGGACCCCCGTGTCATGCACCGCGCCACACGCAACCTCCACCGTGCACCTGACGGCGGGCTGGTCTTCCTGGACAACGAGGCCGGCCTGGGCCATGGGTACCGGCTCCTAGCTGTCTGGGACCGCTACAACGAGCCGCTCCTCCGCTCCGTCTGCATCTTCCGTGAGGGCACTGCTGCCCGCGTCCGCGACCTCCACCGCCTCCGCAACGCTGCTTCTGAGCTGCTGCACATCTACCGCACCCGGGAGCCCCTTGCCGAGAGCCTGGGATTCCTTTCTGACCAGCAAGCAAGGCTCCTACAGGAGCGCATCGACCTGGTCCACCAGCACATCCTTGACTGTCAGGCCCAGGCCGCCCAGGAGCACCTCTGAAGGCGCCCCGAAGGAAGGACGCCCCAAGAACCTGGCCCAGGAAGAAAGGGATTCTACCCGAACCTGCCTGGGATGTAGGACCAGCCGCAGGAGTGGACCTGCTACCTTGCCGGTTGTCTTGGACCACAGAGACTCACCACAGACTCTGTAGAGCAGACATGGGCAAACTTGCCTGCTATTGAGACATTATTTCATGCCAGGATCCTGGTGGAATGTGCTCTTCCTTTGTTTGATACCCAACGGTTTTGAATCCCAGTCACTGAGTTGTCGGAGGCCAACCATGTCCTCAGATGACATCCGGCCAGGTCAAAGTGATAGTTCACGTGATAGGACTCTTCCCTTTTAAGCATTGGGTGCACCACTGGCCCCTCTGCACCTGTTCTGCACTCTTGTCTGTTCTAAGACTAGGCCAGCACATCACAGTTCCTTGCACATTTTAGTTTGCTCCGGCTTGCTTTCAAGACCCAGCAAAGGGCCTTTGAGTGTTACCCAGTCCCTGCTGCTGGGGCTAAATGGGCTGTTTTGTCCTTTAGTGGGAGACCATGAGAATCCCCCACGTAAAACCAAGGCATCATTATCATAAGTATATCTTTTTAAGTGGTATATATTTCGCTGTATTGGTTTTACACTGCTTTTTCTTTCCAGTGTGTCTTTCTCTTAATGCAGGCCAGGGCATACTTGGGCCCTCCCTCCAGGTGTTTTGAACTTCAACTCCCACAATTCCTAACAGCCTCAGGCCCTTCCCTTTTCCCCCTCAGCCACTTAAGCAAGGAGGAGAAGGAAACGCTTAAGCAGCTGAGTGGGAAAAGGAAAGGGCCTGAGGCTGTTGGGAGTTGTGGGAGTTGAAGTCCAAAACACCTGGAGGGAGGGCCCAAGTTTGCCCATGCATGAGCTGTCTCAACCTTATTTGCATATGGTTTCTGATTGGCCAGACTCAACATTGTAACATTCTTAAATGGCTCAGGGGGAAAAGGAAGGGGCCTGAGGCTGTTAGGAGTTGTGGGAGTTGCAGTCCAAAACACCTGGAGGGAGGGCCCAAGTTAACCCAGGCCTGGCTTAGGCGGACTCCTTTCCTGCCACTAGGAATGGTGGGAGTTGCAATCCAAAATGCCTGGAGGGAGGGCCCAAGTTTGGCCATTCATGAGCTATCTCAACCTAATTTGCATATCATTTCTAATTGGCCAGCCTCAATATCTAACATTTTTAAGCAGCTGAGGGGGAAAAGGAAGGGGCCTGAGGCTGTTAAGGAATTGTGGGAATTGAAGTCCCAAGTTTGCCCAGGCCTGCCTTAATGGCTCTTAAGAGCTTCCCTTAATAATTTAGTTGTTTGCTTTAAAAAAAAAAAAAGAAAGAGGCCATGTACAAAATACATTGCCGTTGGAAGGAACCAGTGACCAGAGGAAGGACCAGAAGTTTCATCCCTGCCACACCCTTTTAAAAAATCCTTTAAAACTCAATCGCATTTGCATTCCACTTTGGGAACTTTTTTGTCTTTTCGGGATCTTTCCAGCCACAGATGTCCTCGAAAGTTAACAAGTGGGCAGAGAAAGTCCCAGCGCCACTTGCTCTTGACTTTGACCAGTGAGAAGCATCTGGGGGGGAAAAACCTCCTCCGTTTTCTTGGTGTGTCTGTTTTATACGTAACCGCTACTGTACAGTAAAATAATTGACTAATGGGGCGACAGAGGAGAAGAGGTTCCCAGGTTTGTAGTATTGTCAGTGTAGGGATTTTTCAACGCATTAATCTGGACGAGGGGGAAATTGGTTTCATGCACTTTACTTTGACTTTTTCTTATTTTTTATAAAAAGACCTTTTTATTTTAAAAATAAGTCTGCAGTTTAGGTACATGATGTATGTTCTTAAGCTCTTCTGTAACATACTAAAGAAATTGATATTTCAGTAAAATGTGTTAATGTTTTTGCCTTTTGGAGCTTGGGGTTCTGGCTGTCATTGTTTTGTGAAACATCCATTATTTTGGCTTGATGCAATTCTTTCGCTATATGAACTGTTCATTATCTTTGTTGAATCCAGTAGAAAGGACAGTAGCACAATGGGTTAAACTGCTGACCTGAAAACCTGAAGGTTGGTGGTTCAGATCTGCGAGATGGGGTGAGCTCCCATCTGTCAGCTCCAGCTTCCCATGTGGGGACATGAGAGAAGCCTCCCACAGGATGGTAACACATCCAGGGTCCCCTAGACAATGTCATTGTAGACGGCCAATTTTCTCGCACCAGAAGTGATTTGCAATATATTCTCAATTCACTTCTGACATTATAAAAAGTAGAAAGGATGCTAGAAATATTCCATGCATTGGTAAAGCAAAGGAGAACGTCCTTGTATTCTTGCTTTAACTTGTCCAAAATAATATCTTTATTAAGGAATCCCAAACACACACCAAGTAAGTATTGCTGTATGTATATAACCTTCCCCAAATTTCCAGGAAAATATATTTTTAAAAAGTGTTGATGCAGCCAGTTCAAGTTTCCTTGCGGACTAAAATCCTGCTAGCTGCTTTTCACACTGGGGGGAAACCCTGTTACAGTAGTACCAAAGACTATAAAACAGCATCGTAGACGGCGTGCCATATTCCACAGCTGTTAATTCCTTTTCCATTTTGGTTTCTGGGAAACCGATAACAAACGGAAAAGAGTTAAGTTGTCTGTGCCAAAATAATTTAAAACTACATTTAAGCTCAGTTTCTATCCCGACCCTAGTGGGAATGGATATAGAAGTTGAAATGTGTTAATATTTTTTCCTAAGGGCCAGTGCCCCACTCCAGCAAGGGAGATGTGTGAGCAGAAGCATTATGCTGCTCATCTGGGTCTCATTGAACTGGATTCGTTGTCCTCTGAATCACATGAGTGTGCATTCCCATGCTGGTGATCAAACTGCCGTGTGTAACTGAGGCTCTTTGGGTTGCAGTTCTTTGAGCAGTTTGAACTGGAATCCTAGAATTGGAAGGGATCATCTAGTCCACTCCCCTGCCATGCAGGAATACACAGTCAAGCCCTACCAACAGATGGCCATCCAGCGTCTGATTAAAAAGCTTTCAGAGAAGGAGACTCTACCCCACTCTGAGGCAGTGTAGTCCACTGCCAAAATAGTTCTTACGTTAAAGAAATGTTTAGGTGGAATCCCACCTTGAATTATTCTTTGGGAACTTCGTTCTAACAGTAAATGCAAACAGTGGAAATTCACTATCACCAGATGAAGAGATGGTCAATGGCTTTAGGAGAGGTGGATGTTGGGTTGCTGTAAGTTTTCTGGGCTGGATGGCCATGTTCCAGAAGCATTCTCTCCTGATGTTTCACTCACATCTATGGTAGGCATCCTCAGAGGTTGTGAGGTCTATTAGAAACTATGCAAGTGAGGTTTATATATCTGTGGAATGTCCAGAGTGGGAGAAAAAACTCGTCTGCTTGAGGCAAGTGTGAATGTTGCAATTGGCCACTTTGATTAGCATTGAATAGTCTTGCAGCTTCAAAACATGACTGGTTTCTGCCAGTGATTCTGGCCATGAAAGCCTTCGAGAACACAAGGTGAATGTTGTTATGTGCCTTCAAGTTACTTCCAATGCATGTTTACCCTAAGATGTAACTATCTTGGGGTTTTTTTCTTGGCAAGATTTGTTCAGAGGAGGGGTGCCTTTGCTTTCCTCTGAGGCTGAGAGAGTATGACTTTCCCAAGATCACCCAATGAATGTCCATAGCTGAGCAAGGATTTGAACCATGGTATCCAGAATCGCAATCCAATACTCAAACCACTACACACAAATCAAGGATGTTGGTCTCAGAGGCTACAAGATGTTATATGTGTCCTGTCCAGGAGCTAAGACAGCAGTGCAGGCATGAGTGTGTTGTTGCACTTGCGTCCTGATGATAGACTCCCCACAAACCACTTCTTAAGCTGCTGGCACAGAATGCTGGACTAGATAGTCTTTCGACCTGGGACAGCACATCTCTGATGTTCTGGAGACAGTGTGGAATACAAACAACCTCTCTAAAGAGAGAAGTATGAAACAAAAGAGGTTCCTTCCCCGCTACTCCCAGCTGGAGAAATGCCAGATTTAAGCATTTATCAGATAGGAATGTAATCTCGGTCACATCTGGGGCAGCGTATGTTTTTGCAGACGGGGAAGCCAAAGTGCAGGCTGTAGATATTAGATAAGTGAGTCCCGTTGACATCATTCTGAGCACGAAAATGTCCTAGGAGCACTACAGAGCTCTGTTGCCAGTAAAACTGCCACCTTGGTGACATCAATGCCGCAAGCGAAAGGGCTGGTTTGAACTGTCCTGCCCATAATTACCTAACAGAGAGCACAATGGTGCTCTTACACATGTTAGACACTACACTTTTAAAATGCGTGGGGCTGTTAACTCTGCATTGTTCTCCAACCTTATAACTGCCTTAGAAGCGTCTTTCACTCCGCTGCTTCAACTGACAGGGCTCTTTATTTAACTCTTATTTATAGCTCTCAGCTTTTTATCACTCAGCACAATGCACAGGGTCCCATGTGGTGTTCCTTTGCCATTTACATGATAATATACAATTTAACTGTGTAATTCTTTTAAGCGCAGTTTGCCAGCATGAATTTTGCAACTTGCTCAGATTCAACTGTTTCAAGATGCCTTCACCTAATGAAAATACATTTAAATAATATAGCAGCAGCATAAATTTTAAACCACCTGTAAAAGTAAGTGGCAGAATGCTACAAACATCTTAAAGGTTTCCCCTTCTGCTTAAGCATTGCTGTGAGTATCAACACAATTGCGGTTTGCAATGGCTTAATGGATGAAATATCTCCGCTGCTGTGGTGCCAGAGCCGAGATAATTACACCTTACACAACAAAACACTAGCTTCCTCCTCAATGATTGGGGGCTATTTCAAATTATACGTAGGCCATATGCTCAGAAATAAGGGACTAGCTTTGAGTGGATGGTGCTGATTGCTGAAAGTGAGTGAAGAAAAAAATGGTGGAAAAAAACCCAACATGATTGCATTCAGAGAACATGAATAAGTTTTAGCAGGGACACGCCATCTGCTCTCCTCATTGCTGGTGGAAGCCAACTGTTGCTGGGTGAGTGGGGAACAATTTTGGGGTCAAAGACTGCTCACTGATTGCTCTGAAATTTTAAAAACAGGGATTCTGGGGACGTCAGGAGTTATGTATAGAGGTCTCAAGGATTTCATACAGATCATGGAGCTACATCTTTCTTCTTGTGCCATAAGATCACAGGAATTGTAAATGAAATCATAGTGATATACTTGTGTAGTGCAGAGTCATGGAATTACAGGGTTGGAAGAGATCTCGTGGGCCATCCAGTCCAACCCCCTGCCAAGAAGCAGTCAAGCATCTGCCTGACACATAGCCATTATAGGTAGGTGCATTTCGTTTGTACTTGTGACATTTGGTCATTTGAAACCCCATCTTGCAGCCTCAGTGGGAAGTGGGCCCCAATATGACTATCTCATTGGGAGCTCGACCAAAATTGGCTGTCCTCAACCTCACAACTTATGTTACTTTGACATTACAAATGGACATGTGAGCTTAGCTTGTATAGTCCACTGCATAAAAAAAGATGGCTTTCCTTAACACAAGGATGTTGATTTCCTAGAGCAGTGGTTCTCAACCTGTGAGTCCCCAGGTGCTTTGGCCTACAGCTCCCAGAAATCCTAGCCAGTTTACCAGCTGTTAGGATTTCTGGGAGTTGAAGGCCAAACATCTGGGGACCCACAGGTTGAGAACCACTGCCATAGAGGCTTTTGAAAGATATTCTGAAGGCAAAGGGCAATTCAGTCATCTTCACTGTGCTAACAACAGTCAATTAAAGGAGAGTGAACCATAATGTAAAACCCTATTATGGTTGGTCTAATCATATCGGAATCTTTGAGTTGGAAGAGACCTCGTAGGCCATCCAGTCCAACCCCCTGCCAAGAAGCAGGAAAATCGCATTCAAAGCACCCCCAACAGATGTACTCTCAAGCTAAATATATTGTAGTGTTTAGCGTGATCAGCTGAGTCCTCTTTGACCACTGATTTCAAAAATAAATGTATCTCTTCCTTCTACAGACTATGAATCTCCAGTTCTAAATAAGTGCTGAATGCCATCTAGATTCATTCTGTACAATCAGATGCTAGAGTTCTCCTGTCCCCACCACAACTCAGCAACAGTCAGCTTGCATGGAAATGAAACATTTAGTTTGAGAGTACATCCATTAGTACCTGTAATAAAAAGTAATCCTGTAATGAATGCATGCTGAATATTTCATTTTCTAGGGTGAACAATACCCAGGCTGTCTTCTGACATTTAATGATGTGTTTTGGAATTGTAGGGGGGAAAGCACCGTGGAATTTTTTGTATGTTATTCTGCTAGTGCTAGGGATCTTGTGTCTCCAAGAGATAAATCCTTGAATTACTATCCAGTTAAGGAACACTCCTCTGCTTATTGCCTTAAAACAGAACACTCTTTTGTATGATTCTTGGCCAACTACATTCCTTGCATTCCAGCTCCAGCTTGATATTCCCGCTGTTTTTAATGTAAACATGAGAGCAGAAATGGCAGAAGCAGCTCCAGCAGATATACAGTATCAGGGAGCTTGTGATAATTTGCAAGAAAACAAGGAGAGTGGCAAGCAAAGTCTATAAATTTGCTTAACATAATTTTTGGTGAGAAGTTTGGGGAGGTTTTTTTATCAGTAATGGCTGATATTTTTCATATCAGTGGGCAATGAATTCACTCAGACTTTGTCTGAACACAAGGGTACTATTCAAAGACGCAATGTAGAGTCACTATTCTGCTGTAGTGGCTACCCATTCTCACAGGTTTTAATTAATAGCAGCTAGATGGCCAAGCACTATATATTGGCAAAGTTGCATACAATGTACAAATCCTGATGAGACCTTTTCTAGGGAATTTCTATGTCCTAT